TCGCCGATCCGGTTTTACAAACATTGATATATATTTAACCGGATACTGCCCTAGTCGGTTTCATTATTGTTGTCGTCGGTTTCGCTTTTGTCTTTTTCGAAACAACAAAATAAGTATATATAGTAGTATCCGATGCATAAGTAAAGTGAGGGGTATTTTTGTCATTTTAGTACTCGATTGTGATCGTACAAAGGTTGAAGTCGTTATAGGTACTAGTAGTACAACGAAGCCTTTTTCTCTCAGTCTTGGACAAGAAATTCAGAGCCTGATCATCGGATAATTTTTCCGGCGGAGAAGTTAAATTTCCGGCGATTTGAGGTGAGGTTTCCGTTAGCTCTTTTTCGTCTGTGTGCGTGTAATCGTTTTGATCTGAGAAAATTTCGGGTTTGATTCTCCAAAGTCATGATCTTCCAAATCCAATAGATATTTAGTACATGATCATGCTGTTGGTTAGAATTGATGATCAAATTTAAGGTTTCGTTTTTGTTGGACTTTGGGGTCAATAAAGGTGATTTTTTCATCGTTTTGAAAGGTGAAAAATTGAAGTCATGGATAAGGAGAAAGATGAAGAATTGGAGTGGCTTGAAGCCCAGAAGATAGAGACAAGCGTTGACTTATTTGCTGCAGCCAAGAAACAGCTTCAATTCCTCGAAACTGTTGATAGGAATCGAGGGCTTTACGATGGTCCTGCACTTGAAAGAGCCATCTACAGGTTTTAATAAATCTCTTCCGACTCGGTTCTTGTGATTGCAACTCGTAAAGAACAGATTTGGTTATGTTAGAAGTTAGAACAGAGTAGATTCTTTATTTTTTCAAATGAATGAATCTTTTTAATTGAGCTTGATGGGTTGTTTGATTATTGTTCAAAGTTCTCAAATTTAATAAGTGGTTTCAGGTACAACGCTTGTTGGCTTCCTTTGCTTGCCAAATCGGTTAGTGAAGGTCCTTTGGTCCCTCCTCTTGACTGTGAATGGATTTGGCATTGCCACAGGCTTAATCCGGTAAGCTAAACGGAATATGTCCTAGCCATATTATAGGCAAAAACTTATATTTGTTTGTTGGATGTTTAAAACTCAGGTGAGGTATAAGTCTGACTGTGAGCAATTTTACGGGAAAGTTCTCGATAATTCCGGTGTTGTATCTTCTGTTAATGGAAACTGCAAATCAAAAACTGAAGATTTATGGAAAAGATTGTATCCCGAGGAACCTTATGAACTAAACTTTGATAAGGTAGACTCAGAGGACGTCTCTGAAAAATCTTCAAATTTAGAGAAATGCACCAAATATGATCTAGTTTCAGCTGTAAAGAGGCAAAGCCCATTTTACTACCAGGTATATAACTTTAGAATGAATTTTCATTAAATCATAATAACCACAAATTTTAGATTTCTCTGATTCTTTTGATTTGTTCCTTGCCACAGGTTTCGAGATCCCATGTGAACAATGACATTTTTATTCAAGAAGCTGTTGCTAGATACAAGGGGTTTCTCTATCTGATTAAGAAGAACAGAGAAAGGTCTCTAAATCGGTTTAATGTTCCGACTTATGATGTTGACCTTATCTGGCATACACATCAGCTCCACCCTGTCTCTTACTGTACTGATTTGGAGAAGCTTATTGGGAAGGTGTTGGAGCATGATGACACAGACTCTGACCGAGGCAAAGGTAAGAAGCTCGATACCGGTTTTTCTAAAACTACTGCCCAATGGGAGGACACATTTGGCACAAGGTACTGGAAAGCTGGTGCAATGTATAGAGGCAAAACACCTGCACCTGTCACAACTTCACCTTATGCTTCTAATGTTTTGGCTCAAAAAATAACTGAAAATGAGGATTCCCAGAAGTTAATCCAGCTTCCCGAGTTGGAAGTTGTTGAGGTAGTTTCTTTTATCTGCCAAATTCGTGTTTTTCTTTCACCGCATTTTTCATCGGGTTTCTAGTTGCAGTTGTATGATCCTTGTTTTAAATTCTGCAGGTGCTCTTGGAGGTTATTGGGATTAGAAACTTACCAGAGGGACATAAAGGAAAGCTCTCGGTAGTGTTTACGAAAACCCAACCTGATTCTCTTTTCAATGTTGAACGTAGACTGACCATTTTATCCGAGGTTGGGGAAAAACAAGTCGCTTCTTTCCAGTGTGAACCTACAGGAGAACTTTGTTTCCAACTTATTTCATCTTCACCTTCCAAGATACCAGTTTCTAGGGAGCCTAAAAACTTTGGTTTTGCTTCTTTATCACTAAAGGAGTTTCTGTTTCCAGTTGTTACTCAACTCTCTGTTGAGAAGTGGTTGGAGTTAACACCAAGTAAAGGTAAAACAGATCCTAAACCCATAAGCCTTCGAGTCGCTGTCTCATTTACGCCACCAAACCGCTGTCCATATATCTTACACATGGTTCAGCCGAGACCGTCGTGCAAAGGCTCTTGCTTCTTTCCAATCATTGGAAAGTCCCGTCATGCTAAAAGTTCAACCCAAATTGTTGATGAAACCCAAACAGAAGTGATCAGACTCCAAATGAGGTATATGCATTATAGACTACATTCTCTCTTGCAGAATATAAACACATTCATTAATTCTCTTATGATAAACTCAGACCAGTTATATACATGATTTGACATTCTTCTTAGATCAGTCCATAAATATTGTGTGCTTTAAAACTAATGTTTTTTGTGTGTGTGTTTTGATGTGTTTAAGTAGTGATGGAGCAGCTCAAAAACAAGTGATTCGTGTGGTAAACTCTGGTGAAACTCGTGTCCTTGCTGAGTATAATGGCAGTTCCTGGTCTTTGTTGGACTTGGAATGGTCACTTAAGCAAGTGAATGCGGATAATCCGCTATATGAGCTGTTGGGTACTCGACTGGTATGTATGGCCATTTCCCACCACAATATAAACATTAATCTTCTTATTCTGACAATGTAATAATGCAATTCAATGATAAAATGCTTTTTAATTCTGGTTACAGGTGAAAATTTTCTCTGGTAGAAAGCTGGATTATGAACCAAAACATTGTGCAAACAATAGAAATGACCAAGATTTCATGACCCTTGTGGAATTCTCTAAGGAACATCCATATGGAAAAGCTGTGGGATTGTTGGATTTAAGATTTGGTTCCATTGAGGCAAGTGGGCAAGTTTGATTTAACCCGTAATTTAACTTTTTTTTCTTTCGCCTTAGCCATGATTGTTTGACTCCGTTATTCGATATGCAGGCAAAAGAGAATTGGATGGTTTTGCCTGGAATTGTATCTGCTTTCATACTCAATAATGTTGTGAAGAAAGGAGGATTCGATGGCTTTAATGCCACAACCAAAGTGGCACAACAGGAAAGCCTCAAAACTAATGGATTGAAAGCGGAAAGTAAACAGATTAAACTTGTAGCTACGGTAGAAAATAAGGTGAAGGCAAACACTGTGAATATGGAGACTGCAGCTGCTATTATAGCTCCTGAAAAAGGTAGTGGTTGTGGAGGTGGTTGTAGCGGTGAATGCGGAAACATGGTGAAAGCAACAGCAAACGCTAGCGGTTGCGGTAGTGGTTGTAGTGGTGAATGCGGAGACATGGTGAAAGCAACAGCAAACGCTAGCGGTTGCGGTAGTGGTTGTAGTGGAGAATGTGGAGACATGATTAGAGCACCAAACGCAAGCGGTTGCGGCAGCAGTTGTAGTGGAGAATGCGGTGACATGGTGAAAGCAGCAACAAAGGCGAGTGGTTGCGGTGGCGGTGGCTGTAGCGGTGAATGCGGGGACATGGTAAATGCAAAAAAGGCAAGCGGTTGCGGTGGTGGCTGTAGTGGTGAATGCGGAGACGCAGTGGAGACGGTTGGGGTTGCCTAAACGACACCGTTATGGCTTGATAATTAAAAGCAAACCAGTAAA